TTCTGACGGTTAAGTTTTGGCGCGCAATATTATTTTTAATTGGAAATAGTTCCCATCGTCATAAAAATAAAAAAAATATACAATAGATTTAAATTTTTCATCCATATTTCAATAATTATGTTTCATCAAATCATTTAACAGTTTGTTTACATTTGAAAGTGAAACATAACCTTACTTTTTGACTACTACTACTAGTAACAATTCGTAACAATTTTTTGATGTTGAATGGACCTATTGAAATCGGGCTAAAATTATGGCGACTTTTCATACAACGGTAAATTTCAGAAATGCTCGAAACTTCTATATACATATTTGATGTTGCCTTTTTTAAGATATTTGCCTTTTTTTGCCTTTTTTAAGATATTTGCCTTTTTTTGCCTTTTCTACCTTTAAAAAAGTGATTATAGCATTTACAATTTTTTTTTAAATTAAAAAATATACACATGTCCATGCGGCTGATAGAAGCGCAGGGATCTCTTGCCAAATTGGTGTTGGAAAAATTCAAAGCCGTTTGCTCAGCTAACGTAGGCTTGGAGACAATGAGGGGTGCGGATAAAATTGTAAAGGGCGAGGAAAACGCCCTTATTCCTGATAATATGAACGTTTCAAACGTTCCACATTTTAATTGGGCTCAAGGCTTTTCTTCGCGAAAATCGAATGAAAATGCTGCCAGAAACCTTCAAAATCCATCTTGTGGTTCAATGTTACTACAACTATACAGATTAAAGTTTTATGAGTTAAAGCATAAACAGACGGCAGCGTTGATCCGGATCAGCTCGGGGAATTAACTGCGGTTGATCCGAATTAAGTCCGAGTTAATCCTGATCAACGCTGCCGTCTGTTTAAGCTTTTAGAAACTCGAACGGATAAAATAGTAAAAGATTCAAAGTACAAATTTTTCATATAATGAAACTAGTTCCTAGTTTTTCTCTTTTTAGTTGTAATATAAAATAAATGTATTTTTTGATTGTTCTTCGTATGTTCTGTCTTTTTTTAGTGCCTTAAACCTTTTTATGCAATACCTAGTGCCTTTTCTTGCCTTTTTCGCTATTTTGTTTTGCCTTTTTTGCAATACCTAGTGCCTTTTTCGCTATTTTATATTGCCTTTTCCAGCCTATTCCTTGGTAATAATTATCAGTCGTAAATATAGATGAAGTATTCCACAGTACGGCAGTTTTATCCACGCCTGCTTTGGCTTTTAAATTTTGTGATGATGTTTGTCAAGTTGGAAAGCGGTTTTCAACATGGCTTCACTTAAACCTAATTTACTAGTTAGAATAAATTCAATTGAAAATATGTTAGCTTTCTTAAAAACTACATTAAAAGACTACAATTTTAAGTATATTAATTTTTGGAAAATTACTACTATCGGGTACGAATAAATTTGAAAATTCGTGAAAAATAGTACCAAATAGTCACTTTAGGCCGCGTGGGTAACTTTCTGGTTAGTTGT